AGGCTGGTCTCGAACTCCTGAGCTCAAACAATCCACCCACCTCGGCCTCCCAGAGTGCTAGGATTACAGGCGTGAGCCACCGCGCCTGGCCTCAATCTTTATATATACCTGGCCATAACTGAAGTGAGAGATTGTAAAATAGGAGCAAAAGGTATATATTTACAAAGAAATTCAGGCTGGACATTCAAAAGAATATGACTGACTAACTTCAAAGATACCCACCACAAATAGGAACAAAACCTTAATGTTAAAATTCAGTTACTTTAACTTTTAATCCAGTTTAAAATAAATACTTACAGTCATTTTGAGGAGCAACTTTCTTAGCATCTGGTTGATCTGCAAAATTAAGAGTCTTTTAATTTTTTGCCAAAAAATACAAAGCTTCTCCCCTCCCAACCAAGAATAAATATCAATATAAGCATTTATTGAAATATCTTAGGGTCTGGTTTATCACCTGAACCAAAGTTACCAAACCTCAACCCAAACTCAGTAATCTATAAGAAGAAAAACTACATTTCTTTCATTCTCTTGTTTAAAAAAATGCACAGACATTTAAAATAATTCTCCTTGATTGCATCAAATCACTAATCTTAACGTACGTTAAGCACTTTAAAATGATACAAGACAATATTTAGGTCCAGCACTATTACATGTTAAAGGCTAATGATGCTTCCACTGCAGGAACTGAAGATAGGGGGGAAAAAACTATCAAAATACGAAAATATAACATATCAAAAGTGGAGTGTATCTGACAGTGATCACAAAGCTATGACCAAAAAAATCCCAAAACAAAACCCCACATTACAAGGCAATCTCAATCTAAACTGTTATTCCTAAATAAACATTTCACGGCATAAAACTTCAGCAGGGAAACTCAAAGCAACTACATGACTACCTTCATCTAAATCCATTGCACAGATGAATACAATTCATATCTTGGAATAGACAACCTATAGCTGAAAGTGCTACATTCTCCTCCCCCCTTCAAACTTAAATGATTAAACATAAGAATGTTGTGCAGCAAAAATTCAGACACATAATCCAAGAAATATTTGTGTCCATTTAAGAATTCACCGGTTTATTTCATGTTTACATACTAAACACAGGTAATAAATAAAAATTCCTGCCTTTAAAAGGAGAGGGCATTCCCTCCCAGTGTGTTGTACTGCTCGTACTTGTCCAAGAGCCATCTACACATAAAATAAAAAGAATACATTACACACAACATCGGAAGCATCATTAGCTCATTTTTTTTTTGTATATTAAAAACCTCGCCATAAATATAAAAGACACTTAAATAAAAGGAAACCAAGTACTCCTGGGTCAACAGCTACAAATACATTCTAAAGGCTCAGTGAGACTTCTCCTTTAGAAAAATAAGGGCAAAAAGAAAATGTATCAAAATTCATACATCAAACCTAAAACAAAAAACATGTGCAGACTTCTAAGTTCAGAAGCTTCAACAATTATGTTTTTAAAAAATATAAAGCACTATAAATCCACTGTTTTAATCCACATGTTTAAAGTTAAACCTGAAACACAAAGTACTAAAACAAAACAAAGAAATAACATAAAAAATGGTATAACCTGCAACACACTATAGCAAACTATAGCAACTTCGACCTTTAAAGTAAAATCTGAAACAGCAAAAAAAACAAAAACAAAAACAAAAACAAAAAAACATAGCACATACAGATTCATTTATATATGGGAAAAACCAGTGAAGTGTCTCCTCAACAATTTATATTTTTGGGTTTTTTTTCAATATTATTAACGAGATGTCTGTGCAAACTGTCAATCTGGTGTAATATTAAGAAGGGGGAAAAGAGACTGTCTTCTAATAAGACAAAACTTTCTCGTTGATTCAAATTTTACCTACCTTGTCTAGGCCTCTTTTATTCCCTCTTCTGAGGCTAATATAAACCTTACAATTTTAAAAACCTTATAATAAAAGTATTGTCTCAAAAAATAACATTTGAAAAATACTGAAAATCACTTCAACTAAACATTGTATGAAACAAAATACTTATGGCTATAACTTACCTCCATCTTCTAAAGGTCTTTTTTGTCCCCCGTAACCATAGTCATTTGAATTCAGTGATGTCCCAGCATCACCTCCAATTTTTGCTGCAATCTTAAACCAAAAACACACTACCATTAAGGATAGCAAGACAAACTACTATGTATTATTCATTGCTAAATTTCCTCATTTATTTTGTGATACATATATATGCTAAATATTTAGTATCACTATAAGAAAACTCACTTGACAGACAAAATTACACTACAATTTATTACTACCATTATACTTCAGGGAAGTTAACAAATAATCATCACCTGGAATTTATCTTCTGATACATCCCCATAAGAACCAACAAAGAAGTAATCAATTAGGAATCTTAAGGGAAGACCAAACAGCTTTAAAGAAAACCTGGATCTCAATTCTATCAGAAGGTAGATTTCTTGCCATGGCTGTCTCCTATGACACTTCAAAAGAAGTGCATGGGCAGAGAATGTGAACACTTTGCCGGACGGACTCTAACAAGGTAGTCACTAGCCATATGTGGTTACTGAGTACTTGAAATGTGGTTAGCCTGAGCTGACATGTGCTTTAAGTGTAAAATATGCACTGAATATTGAAAATTTGGGACATAAAGAATGTAAAGCATCTCAAAAATTTTTATACTAAACACATGTCAAAAGAGTAATACTTTGGATATTTGGGGTTAGACAAAATATGTGGCTTGCATTATATTTCCATTGGACAATGTTGTTCAAATTATACATGTAGGCGCCTGGGGAGCTCTAGTCTAAGAAAGCCTCAGCTACAGAACCATAATTCTATTAAAGTCACTTCCGTCTTAGAAGATTTTTAACTTTCAGAATGGGGCAAATAATTGCTTGCATTTGACTATTACATCATTCCTTCAACTGAATATATCTGAAATCTTCCATGATAAAAAAAATAAAAGGAAACCAAACTTTTGGTGACTAAAATTCCCCAAAGAGATCCTGATGTGGATAATCCAACTGCCTCAAGCTTTATAACAGTCAGAAAACTGGAGAAGAGTATACGCAAGGACTTCAGTCATAAATCAAATATAGATCCCTTAAGTCTAATATTTATGAGTACCCATATACTATTAATAACTGTACTTCCCAGACTTCTCCCTTTCTTCATCTGTAAACACAAACACTTACTACGAAGCATATTAGGATCAAGTATTAAAATGCTTGATAAAAAAGACATACAATTTGATTTTCCCGATTCTCTACAGCTTTGGCGAATCTAACCTTCTTTAAACATCTTTCACTTTCTCAATTAAAAGCCTCATTTTACCTTTGCAAGTCTCATTCAAATCTTATTTCTTTTCTTAAAGTTTTCCTAATCACACCAGAAAACACTGCATTTTCACCTTTAGGTCTTAAAGCACTTGGCATTTAAACTGTTCCTCAAGAATTTAAATACACTACCCTATGTTGATAGGCACTGGTATTATAAAGTATTTCAGACCAGAGAAAATGTTACTACCAATTACAGTTTAGGCTGCGATACTTTCTACAGTTAGTTTTTTATAAACACTCTTATGAGTTTGCAAAGCAGCACTTCTTAAACTCCAAGGTACTTCTACACAGAAAAAAGATACTTATTCATACTTTCTTATTCATTGACTAGGTCAAAAACTATCCAAAGAAAAATGAAAGTTGATACCTAGTTCACTCAAAAGAACCAGTTACATTTCAAAAATTGAGAATTGGTACAAAGACATTAGAGAAGAGCTTTTAATAAAAATACTAGCAAAGCAGTTGGGTATGGCTGCAAGCTCCTGTAATCCCAGCTACTCTGAGGCTGAGGGTGGCTAGACCTCTGGAGTTTCAGACCAGCCTGGGCAACATAATGAGACTGCAACTTTTTTTTTTTTTTTTTTTTTAGACAGTCTGGATTTGTTGCCAGGGCTAGAGTGCCTAGCTCACAGCAACCTCAAACTCCTGGGATCAAGTGATCCTCCTGCCTCAGCCTCCCAAGTAGCTGGGACTATAGGCACGCACCACCATGCCCGGCTAATGTTTTCTATTTTTAGTAGAGATGGGGGTCTGGGTCTTGCTCTTGCTCAGGCTGGTCTTGAACTCCTGACCTTAAGTGATCCTCCCGCCTGAGCTTCCCAGAGTGCTAGGATTGCAGCCGTGAGCCGCTCACAGGGCCTGACCCCAACTCTTAAAACACCACCGCCACTACCACCACAGATTTGATCATCAATTTTCCAAGAGCAATAGAAAATACACACTTTCCAGGTCACTACAAGGAAGATTAATCTAAGAAAAACAGTAATTCCTAAAAACCAAGCTCCAACTCTACCCAAATCTTATTAGACATATATTAAGTGTGGGTGACTTCCTTATTTGATTTCAATTTACAAAACAATTCAAGCTTTCCATCTGGACCGTGCTCTATTTCTTGAATGAGTAAATATTTTTTCCTGCTTTCATTGTTTTAGCATTTTTCACCTTCATTGACCACTCCTAGAATCCAAAAATTTTGGAGTTGAAAAGAAACTTAGGAGATACAATAATACCCCTTTTTCCAAGGCCTTTGCTTTTCATGGTTTCAGTTACCGGTGGCACAGCATAAGATATTGAGAGAGAGAGAAAGAGCGCGTGAGAGCCCTCACATAACTTTTATTACAGTATATTATTGCTCTATTTCACTATTATTAATACTGTGCCTAATTTAAAACTTACATTTTATCATAGTTATGTATGTATAGTAAAAAACACAGTACCATGTATACATACAGGATTTGGTACTGTATGTGGTTTCAGGTAAGGGTCTTGGAAAGTATCTCCCTTGGATAAGGTGGGGGTACCGTGGTTTACTTAACTATCTTCTGAGAATTATCTTTAAAAAAAATCTCTAAAATCAGGTGATATGACTAACTACAATTGTCCCTTGGTATCCATGGAAGACAGGATCCATGCAGATACCCAAATCTGCAGATGCTCAAGTCCTTTATATAAAAGTTTGTAGTATTTGCATATAACCTATGCATATCCTCTAGTATATTTTAAGTCATCTCTAGACTACCTGTAATACCTTACAACATAAATGCTATGTAAATAGTTGCTATCCTGTATTTTAAAATTTGTGTTTTTTAAATTGTTGTATTGTTATTTTTTGCATTTTTTTTACAAATATTTCCAATCTGTGGTTGGTTGAATCCATCGATGCAGAACCCAGAGACACGGAGGGCCGAATGTACTTTAACTCAGCAGTCCCCACTTTTTGGCACCAGAGACCGGTTTTATGGAAGACAATTTTTCCATGGACCAAGGCTGGGGGGGAGGTGGTATGAAGTTTAGGTGGGGATATGTGGCCCACTACTTAACAGGGCACTGGACTGGTAATGGGCCACGGCCCTGAGGGATGGGGACCACTGACTCATTAAAAACATTTATTGATTCAATTCAGTAAATATTGAGTTCCTACTATGGGCAAAGTCCTGATGGAGTGAGTTAGTTCCCATACACCAGAAATGTGGAAAGGTGCAGACACTAGAAATATTACTATACCACCATTTACTTATCACAATCAAGCCTTGCTATATTGTCACAAGTTGCTAAAAAAAAAAAAAAAAAAGTCACACTCAAATGCTAGTTTTCACTGAAGAGACCGATGGTAATAAAAACCCAACAGCTCTATTTTATATTTTCATTTCATCCAAATAACATACTGCAGCCTGAATCACTTTTATAATTATCAGGGAAGAGATTTCAAGTATAATTGAGTACTTAATGACTAATTTCATAGTTATCTGGAGGGGAAGGAATGAGGGTTGATAGTCTTGCTTAGCTTGTAATCTACCACTAGTCTCAGTCTCTGATTGACTACTTTCACGTAATCTCAAGGAAAAAAAAAAAGTAAATATATTTTAATTTTCCAGTGTTCCAGAGACAGAACTTATCAGTGTGATTGCCAAAGACTTAAAGAATCCCAATCTCATTCTCTGGAATTACAAGCTTAAAATACACAAAAATAAATTTCTAAAGTGTACTGGTTGGAAACCCTACACTAGAGAAGCAATCTGGTGCTCCTTTGCTGGATGCAGCTCAGAGTATTATAAAAAATCTGGAAATTTCACATAAAAAGAGGCTATCAGGATTCTCTAGGGAAAAAAAAAAAAAGAAGACTGAGCAACTTGCTTTAAATTATCAGATGGCAACAACCAGCTATAGTAAGCGCTACTGGCATTTACTAGGTAGGAACCAGGGATCATAACCACTTTCCCTGCTTTCCTGGGTAACGAAGAACTGTCCAGCTAAAAATACCAACGGCATCTCCATTGGTACAACTCTTGAAGCTCCTTGAGAGCAAGAAGCTGTTCTTATACTTCCTCATAGCATAGTACTCTGGACAAAGAAAAGAAACTTAAGGTTAGATGGGGATTTTGGAAATGCAATTCAATGTCCTGTTAATAAACAGATAAGAAAAAAGTAGTTCAGATACTAACCTAACTTGTTCCTTTAGTAAATACTCTTCTGTACATTCCGCACTTACGTAATTAAACAAGCAGCTACAACTGATATTTAAAGACATTCTCAAATGGGCAGTTCCACTCAAAAGCTAAACTTGTAATCTAAAATTTAAGATCAATTCTGTAAAGAGATAATCAAATCATTACAGCAAAGACATCAGTGTAGATGACTTACTGGTATGTAACTAATTCCACAGTTTGAGGACAATTTCTCCATTTAAAAAAGTCTAAAGCAGGAAATTATGGCTTAGCTCAATGATGAAGTCTAATTTCAAAGTACGGTAACCCAAGGTCATTTTGGATCCATCTGTACTTTTTCTCATCTTGTTTTCTACCCTCTTTACCCTACCCAATACTATCCTCCACTGACTTCACTCTTGGATTGTCATTCCAAAAATCCCCATACCTCTGCACACGCTGCTTCTTTTCCCAACTGGTCAAACTCTCACTTCTTCTTTAATGCCTTGCTCAAGTATCACCCCTTTCTTTACTCAGGCAGTTAGGCACCCCCTCCTTGGTGTCCTGAACAAGTGCCTGACTCAGACAAGTAGAAACTCTATAAATGTTACCAGAACAAGCCCATGAATTAACTGTCCATACTCTGTCTCTCTTTTCTCCTTAATCAAAGCATTGATCGGATAATCCTGTTCATTTGGTATTTGGTTCCTTGACTATATCACAGCTTCCTAGAAAGCTGGACTCCAATTCACATTTAAAATAATCTCCAGTATCTACCTACACCACGTGACACAATTAGTTCAATGTGCTGGTTGAATAAAATAGTTCAGGTAAGTCTTCCAATCCAATCCAATAGAGACTGTTAAGAGTTTCTGTCACAGTTGTTCAGCTGCTATTCTAAACATGTTCGGAATTTTAAAAAAAACATGAAAAAACCGCAGAACTAGTATTAATGATGACCCTTTGTTGACTAACCCTAATATTTCTGGTTCTAAAGAAGTACAGGTTCATTTGTATAATGTGTTCACGTTGGAAAAATAAGAGTGATGTATTATATTACTACAGATTTTATGAATTTTGATTTTGACTCAATGATCCTTTAATCGTATTGGAGGATAAAAACGAAGTGAACTTCTACTGCAATCACAACATATCACAAAACTGGTTTCTAATAACCATTTCCTTAACTCTAGTCCAAAATGCCTAGCACCTAGTACAACATGCGCTAGTGTCATAACCAGAATAAGAAACTTACTTTTGCATATATAAAAGTCGGTATAATCATACATTTTTTTTTTTTTTTGAGACAGAGTCTCACTCTCTTGCCTGGGCTAGAGTGCCCTGACATCAGACTAGCTCACAGCAACCTCAAACTCCTGGACTCAAGCGATCCTCCTGCCTCAGCCTCCCAAGTAGCTGGGACTACAGGCACACGCCACCGTACCCGGCTAATTTTTTCTATTTTTAGTTGTTGGCTAATTTCTTTCCATTTATAGTAGAGACGGGGTCTCGCTCTTGCTCAGGCTGGTCTCGAACTCCTGAGCTCAAGCAATCCTCCCGCCTCGGCCTCCCAAAGTGCTAGGATTACAGGCGTGAGCCACCGCGCCCAGCCATCATAATACATTTTTATAAATACATTAGGAGACTATATAAAAAGGTAAAGTTCGAATTAAGAAATCTTTAATTTTCCTGGAGTACATACACTATTTTTCTTTTAAACAGCTTTCATCGGGGAAATAAGTGCCTTCAGGGCAAATGTATGCACCTACGTAATACAAAGAGGTCTGGTCAGTTTACGACTCTGAATAGAGAGGCAGATTCAAATAAAAACCACCGGTATAATGGGCCTGAAGCCATTTTGAGAAATAAGGGGGAAGGACTTGGAGAACAGACTGACACCTAAATCCCGCCCAGAGGAAGGTTGCTTGCTTAAGTCTCTTCCCTGCAGAGGTGTGAAGGTGAATGGTACCGAAGGCTGCTTTAATTGAGAGGGAAAACTCAAAAGAGCTGGAAGCTGTAAAGAATAATGACAAATCCTTTTCCTTACTATGGCTCCAGCAGACAGACCGTAGTCCTTTCCCAAACTCATTACCAGAACTTTCCATATTATTGAGTAAAACTAAGCGCGCTTTACGTGGAAAAGAATATTCATTCGGAAAGAAAGAGGCTAAGCTAACTCCTTGGAGAAACGCGAGTGCCGTACAAGTGGAGAAAGACTTAAGGCCATCTTTGCGTAGCACGCGTTGGGTTTCTAAGTAGCTTAGACTCCAAGAACACAAAGCCGAGCTATGGCCTCCTGTCGGTATTACCAACATAGGGATACGTTAGTCTCTTTATATTTCAGTCCGGAAGGGTACCTCTTTCCTCTTCCTCACGCGCCAAGGGGTAGCGGCCTACTCAGCCAGCGGCCAATTACCATGAGCTTTCGGGATCCCGCCGCGCGGTCCCGACTTACCTGCCGGGCTCTCTGCAGCGCATCTTTGAAAGCATCGTTTACTCCTCCACCACCACCGCCGCCACCACCACCACCAGCTGAGCCAGAAGAGGGTGGAGGCACTGTTGAATAGTCTGCCATGGCTACACTACAGTAGCCACTGCCGTTTTTCCACAGAGAACTGCTCTCAGCTAACAGCTAAGAAAGAAATAAAATGGCGGCCGTCGAGGCTCTATCACATTCTTGCACGACCATCGTGCCGTAAAGGGGCGGGGACTGAAAGACGGAAATCTCGCGATATTTCTGAAGCAACGCGCTGGTGCGGGGGTGGGGCTGAGAGAGGAGAGGCAGAGAGCTATCGTGAGAGTTGAGTTTAAGATTTCGCGAGAATGGGGTTTGTTTTGGCGCCTCCTTTCCGCGTGTTCTGGGGGTGAGGCTGAGTAATTGTTCTTTCGGGGTGATGGGTGAGACTGCTGCGGCGGCCGCGGTTGGGGTTGGGTTGTAGAAAGCCTGAAGATAAAGAAAGTTTCTTACCAGTCGCCGCCTCAGGGAGGTGTTGCGGTAGAATTTTCCGCCGGGGGTCATTCTTGTGTGTCCGTGGGGAAGGGCGTGACGACGACGGGCGTGACGTTGACGCAACAGTGACTCGAGAGCGCTTCCGCTCTGTGGGCGCCTGGAGAAGCGCGCCGGAGACAGCGCGCGGTTATGCACCTGAAAACGTCTGCGTGGCCTAGTGGGAACCCAGCATGATTTTCAGGGTAGTAAAGTGTCTGTATTTACTTCTAGACTGTCAGATTTTTGAGTTTTATCCTAAGTGGGGATGAATTCAGGCTGGAAGCCTTTTAGTTCCAGAGCTGATTTTTAGTTTTTGTTTAAAATAATGTTGATGAGGCTGTGACAGTATGACTGCCCTTTTCTTTATCTTTTAAAAACGTGCTCGTTCCTAAAGTTCAGTGGTAGCCAGACTCAGAAACCTAGTATTGGACGTGTCCATGGCCATTTTTATTGAGGTCCTTATAATTAAGAATAGCTTCTGTTTCTTGACCAGAATTGACGGTGATTTCTTAGAAGTAGTTTCTCCCAGCTCCAACCTGTGGATACTCGAATCTAAGGTAATGTTCTGAATTGTCAAAGCAGGGCTAGATTTTTTTTGGTATTTTCTGTGATCTAATTCAGTTACCAGATAATCTCAGATATTTCTTCAGACCTTCCGGGACATACTGTGACATGTAATTTACTGTGTTAATAGTAGTAGTTCCAGGAATCATTAGAGTACTTAAGTCATATTCTGTTTATGACTGTGTGTATCACAGTGATTTCCCCCCCAAATTCTTTCTATTTAAATAACAAAGAATGAGGTTAAATGAACTTTTTCAACTTTGTGGCATTTTGTCCTCTTGGAATTAGGTCTAAAAAACACGTTTGCTGTTGCTCCTCATAGAGTAATTGAGAGCAATGTGTGCTGCAATCTTCCTGGCAACCTAACACTGTGTCCACTTGCTCAAGTCCCAAAATAAGTCAGTTAAGTAAACAGTTATATGCACATAAATACACATGGACCATCATTTTTGTCTAGTCAGCTTTTCCTATCATCTTATCCACATGGCTCTGATCATCTTTTTCAGTATTCGTAGCTATCCCTTTGAATTTTGGTGGAATTTGTATTTGAAAAATCAGTGAACATATTGGACTGACTACAGATTTAATCGCAGCAGCGTATAGAAAAACTGTAAAAGGAGTGTTGGGTGATATTGTTAAACAAATTTTCCAGTTTTATCTTGAGAACATTTTGGTTTTTTTCATACTGTTAAAATTAGACTCATGTGCTAATCAAACCTTCTGATCAACTTAATTTTACCAGTGTGATATAATTTACTCTCAAAACAAACTTTATTTCATGTATACCACAATTTATTTTAGTTGTCACTAAATATTGAAAATAAGTAAAGACCTCCATTTCTAATTTTTTTTTTTTTTTGGTAGATTCTTCGGAAAATATGGGTATTCTAGAATGCAAACCAATTGGAATCAGCGTAGACCAGGATTTTTCAACTTCAGCACCATTGACATTTTGGACCAGATAATTCTTTGTTTTGCAGTACTACTGAGCATTATAGTATGGTTAGCAGTATCCTTGGACTCTACTACAGATGCCGGTACCAGTCCTCCCACTCATCTACCCACTGTTAGTTGTGACAATCCAAAATGTCTTCAGACATTGCACTGGGGCCTTGGGGAGCAAAATCACTCTCATTGAGAACCACTGCTCAGCCTTGATTCCTGTCCCTCCCTCTTCCTTCCATCTATCAGGAAGACCTATTGACCATACTGCCTATATATATTTTAAATATATTCTAAATGCCATTACTTTCACCTCCTCTAGTTTCCACCCTATTTCAAGTTACTATTACCTTACTTTGGACTGTTACAGTACCATTCTTGTGGATTTCTCTGATTCTACCCTTACGTCTCTACAATTTACTTTTTAAGAAATTGTGAAATTTTGTGCAGAAAAATGGATGGTATATATGTAACAGTTCAAAAGTGACAAGGACTCATGTTTCCACTCTCCGGGAATATTCTCCAACAAATAGACCATTATCAGTACTTTTGAAACTCAAGGATACCTGTATCTGATTATATTACAATGCAGTCCTCGTATAGCAGCTTGCTATTTTTTTAAAAAACATAAATTAGATCATCTCACCTTTATCAGTTGCACTTTAAATCCTATCCTAGAATGGCCTCAGGACTCCACAGGTTCAGGCTGCTGTCTCTAAATGCTCCTCCCTCTCATTCCACTCTAGGTATTTGGCCAAATTGCCATCCAAGATCTTTCCTGCCTCTGAGACTTTGTACTTGTATTTGCTTCTGCCTGGTAGGCTCTTAAAGGCCGTCGTATGTATGATTTGTTCTCCTTATGCAGGCCTCACTTCGGATGCTACCTCCTTAGATCACTCTTGATTACTGTGGTTATGGCATTCTACAGTCTATCCCATTGTCATGTTCTCTTTATAGCATTTATCTGAAATTCTCTATGTTCTCTGTGTTTACTTTTTTTTTTATTGTATCTCCCATTATTAGAATGTAAACTTCTAATGAGCAGGGACCCTGTCTGTTTCCACCATTGACCAGTTCCTAGTACAGAGTCTTGGCACTCTAGATATTTGTTGGATGAATGAGTATTGGGAAAAAATCTACCCCTATGTTTTAGTTGGTTTTTTGACCTTGGGCAAGTGGCTTAGTCTGTGTCTCAGATTTCTTATCCAAATAATGGCCATAACCTGCCTTGTCATCCTCAAATGAGGTATCTGCGTTCTTCAGAAATCATAAAGCGCTATGTAAATGGAAATGGGTAATTCATCTAATGGTATTTCATGATAAGAAAAGGATAATCAATACATTCCACTTCTGTAAATGTTTTGTATTAAACAGCTATTTTCAAATCTTGGTTTTGGTAAAACTTGGGATCCTGCAAAAACAACCAAATTGTGGGAAGACTGTAGCCAGTGACTTTCTTATGCGAAATATGCGTTCTGAGTTCACTTAGTCTTCTCAAAGCCATTTGTACTTTGCTGGTTACTCTAGCTAATTTTCTTATAACTGATGAAATCAGACTTTTCTTGACTAAATTTATTCCCGATTGCAATGTAAATCCTCTTAAAAGTGGGTATGTCATAGCTAATAGTCTAAATTTTGTTTATTGAACCTTGAGAGGTAAATTATATCTTACCGTCACACTGTAATTCAGAAATTGTAGAATCAATTATTAGAACTTTGGCAATAGCCTAAAAAATAAAATTTAATTCCGTTAATATTAAAAAATTAACTTCTGATAGATATTCTATATGTCATCCTCAGGATGAAGCAAAAGTCAGTGTTTTGGGGCTTATAAAAGTCTAGTAGGGGCCAGGTATAGTGGCTTATTCCTGTAATCCTAGTACTTTGGGACACCAAGGTAGGAGACTCCCTTGAGGCCAGGAGTTGAAGACCAGCCTGGCCAAGAGCGAGAACCTGTCTCTACAAAAAATAGAAAAATTAGCCAGGCATGGTGGCGCATACCTGTAGTGCCAGCTACTTGGGAGGCTGAGGCAGGAGGATCACTTGAGCTCAGGAGTTTGAGGTTGCAGTGTGCTATAATGGCACCATTGCACTCCAGCCTGGGTGACAGAGTAAGACCCTGTCTCTTTAAAAAAAAAAAAAAAAGGTCTAGTAGGGAGCATCTAGATTTGCCAAATGACAGAATGAAAAGATTAATAAAGATAATTAAAGGTAGATTATTAAACATACTGGCAAGATTCTTCCTTTTACCTTCTGATTTACTGGTTACCAAATTAACATTGATTCTTTCTTAGCATAACTTTTCATTGTTGGAGTTACTAAATCTGTGAAATATCGGCAGATTTTTATTTGTAGCTAGTGGAGAAAAATAGACCATTATGTTGTGGGGTTTTTTTTGTTTGTTTTTTTGTGGAGACAGGGTCTTGCTCTGTTGCCTGGGCTAGAATGCAGTGACATTGTTATAGCTTACTGCAACCTCAAACTCCTGAGCTCAAGTGATTCTGCCTCAGCCTCCTGAGTAGCTGGGACTATAGGCACAAGCCAACATACCTGGTTAATTTTTTTTTGCTTCTATTTTTAGTTGACTGGCTAATTTTTTTTTTCTATTTTTAGTAGAGACGGGGTCTTGCTCTTGCTCAGGATAGACTTGAACTCCTGACCTCAAGCCATCCTTCCCTCTTTGGCCTCCCAGAGTGCTAGGATTACAGGCGTGAGCCACCGCGCCCAGCCTCTCCTTTTATTTTGTGTTCAAAAACATACTTGTTTTTTTCTTTCCCTACTTGGATCATATATTTAGATATCAGTTCCTTCTATTATATTTATCTTTTTTATTAACTTAGCTAAATAAAAAATTCAGATTAAAAAAAACATGTTTTTTCATGAAACTTAACCTGACTAACCAATTCCAGTGATCTTTTACTCAGTGGTTGTCTGCATTGATGATAGGGAACTTTTTAAAAATTTGAAGGGTAGCCCTAACTTCTGTGCCCAGAGACTGATCTAACTGGTCTATGTTTGAATCTGTAAAAGCTTCCTATAAAGCTTCCTTAATCCTTAAATGCAGACATATTTGAGAACCACTGAAATATAGCAAGTCTACAGGCTCTGGCAGACTTGTTTATTTTTAATGGCTTTCAGTTTGTTTCTAGTTATCAGTATATAGTCTTGAGATGAATGTAAGGTCTA